CCGGTCCAGTTTGTTTTATTAAACTGTGCTCTGAAGCATTACATATTTAATAAATCTTAGTTCGGAGCATTAGCTGAAACCTATAGTTATCTAGATTTAAAATCAGAGTAGCCATATTATTGCCCTGTGGTGCCATTATTCCACAAAACAATGAAACCATATATTAAGCTTGACAAGATAGGGAGAGCAGGGAATGTGAATCAGATCACTATTCGTTGTTAAAACAGATCGCATTTAGATAAATGCAGTCCTGTATTGGCCAGTAAACCAAACTTTTAATTATGGTAGAAGTGAGTTTAAAATGAAAGAGCTTTAAGCCATTAGAGAAGAAACTCAAACACTGCAAATGCTAAATAACACCAGTGGCCTCCAATCGTGAAATTACAGGGAGGGTAGGGGAATCCATTTTGAATGAGGGTGAATTTGAGAACCTGCTCTAAACATACCTGAGGTTGACTGAAGGGATTTGATGCACAGCCTGTAAGCAAGGTAGACAGCACACAGAATCCTCCTACAAATGCCAGTACTATGGTGATGAGTTAGTTTTAGCAAACTACAGTTGTGTAAATGAAAACTCAGAGTGTAAGTTAGACAACCACTTTGGCGAGCCATCTGGTGAACTGTAACAAAACTGAATATAATCACAGGCTAAATACGACCTAGCATTTTCACTCCTAGATCTGCCCTATAGCAGCCACTTTCTGTGCCTTCAGAGAGGCATGGACTCACGTTCCCTGCATGTGGAAGAAGAGAGGAACCTGGAAATATTTTGCTTTTATCAATATGAGCAAGTGAAATAAAAATTATTTATAAATAGGAGTACTAAATAACAGTGAAAAGGAATGTATTAGAAAGCCATGATCTGACATGAATTTATCACAGAACCATACTTATAGATGAAAAGTCAAGTGTCAGAGCCTAAAGAAAATGTTTTCAATTTAAAAATGGGCAAAGGTAAAGTTTTACATTGTATGTAATTCACACTTCAGTAGGAGACAGAGAGGTGATGGGAACAGCAGATAGCAGACTCACAGCACCTACTACTGACAGGGAGGGTGCAGGTGTCCAATAAGTGAGTCTAACAACAATCTGGCCACATACTGTGTTAGTCACTGTAATTGGTTATATGCCAGATATTCTTAAGAGGGCTATAAAGCTTTAGAGTGCTAATTTTGGATTTTCCTACTTAAAGACTTACTCACATCTTCACTTAGTAAATATTTGTGAAAGGCCTCCATGGAGCACTTAGCGCTTAAAAAACTAGAAGATAATTGGCCATCATCTTTTTCTTCAAAGGACGCGTATTTCAGCTCAGGGCATTAAAACCACAGAGAAGTCTGGGCACTTAAAAATAGTTTTTGATCATTCTTCTTCATTTAAAAATAGGCTACACTTCAAAGTAGTGGGAGGCTTGTTCACAGCGAGAGGTGGAGGTCCCGAGTCCTCACATCTTCTCTCCCTCTTGTGCAGTGTCCCCAGGGTTGGAGCTCTGCCCCACGGCTGTACAGTTACAACTGATGGGCCTGCGGTGACACTTGGTTGTTATCCACGGCTCACAGTTTAGAGCACACTCTTGTTCCTGCTGCAGTATCTGGTTTTCTCGCTTTGCTTCGTGGTACTGAGGATTGAAGCCAGGGCCTTTGTACCTACTACATCCCAGCTGCCCCCACCTTTTCTTTGCTAAATTGCCAGGGTTGGTTTTAAACTTTTCATCCTCCTGCCTCACAATCCCAGAGTGCTAGGTCTACAGACATGCAAATAGCTATTCTCTGTTCTATGGGTTTTGACAAACGTGTAACATTGGTCATGGTCATAATTTCATTCACTGCCCTTTGTTCAGTCCTTCCTTCCCTTCTAACCTGCAGCAGTCACTGGATCTTCATTGTCTGCACAGCTTTGCTTGTTTCGAATGGTATATATTTGGAACAACATAGTAGAAATCCTTTAGAGTCTTTCTTGTTTTAGTAATATAAGTTTAAATTTATTCCATACCTTTTCGGGGTTTAATAGCTCATTTCTTTTTAGTGCACAATAATTTTTACAGCCTGGTTGCACCACAACTTAGCCATTCACCTACTAAAGAAAATCTTGGTTGCTTCCAAAATTGGAAAAGTATTGTTTTAGTCACTTTCCTGTCACTGAAACACAGTTTTCAATATTCAGACTTGAAGGAGGAGAAGTGTGTTTGGGTTTATGGTTTTTGGAGAATTCAGTCCATGGTTGGCTGGCTTCAAAGCAAGGAAAGTTATGGCTGCCAGCTCTAGAGGTGCACAGCTGTTCACATAAAGGCAGTTAGGAAGCAAAGGATAAAGAGAGAGGCTATGCAGGGGAGGGGAATTCCCTTTCTCATTCACTCCTCTGCCCACCTCCAGCCAGACTCCACTTCCTAGCAGCAAGTCACCCACAGCCCCCATGTATTTGATTCTTGGTATCCTTATTTTCCTCATCAGTGACCAAACTGTCTTTTCAAATGGTTGTGACATTTTGCACACTCATCAGCCATGAGTGAGTATGTTTTATTCCACATCCTGATCACTGTTAGTGTCATCAAAGTTTTGGATTTTGGCCTAATAAGTGAGTGGTAATATCCCATTTTTGTTTATATTTGCAATAACCTAAAGATTCATGATGAGGCTTTTTTAATATGCTTACTTTCTATCTGTGTATCTTCTTTCGAGTACCTGCTCAGGATTCTTGTCCACTTGTTTTTTAATCAAGTGAATCTATTTGGACCTGGTACTTTCTATTTTAGAAGGTTTTTAATTGTAAGTTGAGGGGCCAGGGATTTAGTTCAGTGGTGTAAGTGCCTGCCTGGCAAGTGCAAGGTCGTGAGTTCAATCCCCAGTACCAAGAAAAAAAAAAATGTAAGTTGAATTTCTTCAATAAATATAGAACTATTCAAATTATTTCTTCTTGTATCCTTTTTGGGAAATCATATCTTTTGCAGAATGGGTTCATTTCATAAGGGACGTCAAATTTGTTGGCTGAAACTGTGCATAGTATTCAATATTTTATTTATAAAATTTAGATAAATCTTTTTGTTGCTGTTTTTTTTGATTTTTTTGTTTGTTGTTTTTGTTTTTTGGCACCAAGGATCAAACTCACAGCCTTGCACTTGGCAGACAGGCGCTGTGGCACTGAGTTATATCCTCAATCCTCTTCTTTCATTTCCAATAAAAGAATTTCTTAATCTACAGAGAATAGCTAGCAAGACCCTCAATGAATGCCTAAATCTGGGGGCAGTACCAAACCCTCTGTTTTACCTAAGCATGCATATCTATCTTAAACATATGTATTTTCACTTGACAAAAGCATTTTATGGTTTTCCTTTGGCATACCTGTGTTGCCAATATTGTAAATCTTATTCTTCAGGACCATTATTATGGAAACTAAAGCTTGTTTGAACAATAGCTCTGCATAGCCCCGACTGATCTGATAAGCAAGGTGGCTATAGAATGGCCAACAAGCAAGTAACCTCTCTAGAAGGGGAATCTGGATAAGGGGGTGACTCCTGCCTTGGCTGGGGCAATGGGATAGCATGAGTTTTCCTCACTGTGCACAGTTCCACTCTTGTGAAATACACGTTTCTGAAACTTTGTATCTAATATATTTGGAGTGAGTTTGATCATGGCTACAAATAGCTAACATGGTAGGAAGTGAAATGCAGAAGTGATGAGAAGCTGGTGCGAATTAATATTATTAATTATTTGGATTATTTGGATATTAATATTACTAATAATTTGGATCAACTCAACTTTTTCTCAGATAAGGTGTTCTGAGGCCTATCAGTTTTTATTGCTTTTCATAAAAATCAGTGCTTATTATTTTTCACTATTAAGAATTGTTTTTAATTCTATGTGTTTGAGCTTTCTTTTTTCTAATTCCTCTACCTTCTTTGAATTTCAATTTCTCTTGTTTTTCCAGTGGAAGCTCACTATTGGGATGGGCTCTTTCTACTCCCTCACATGTGCTTTTACAAAACCACACAAATATTGATAACTTGTATTTGAATTTTCAGTTAGTTAAAAATGTTTTAAATTTTTCTCTTGAGATTTTTTCCAGGACCTATGTTTTATTCTGAAGTGTGTTTAATCTTCAAGGATTGTAGTTTAGTATTTCATGTTTCTATGAATTTATAACTCATTTCCTTTTGTGGTCATAAAACAGACATTTTAAGTGTGTGATGTTAAAAATGTGTTTATATTCCCAGAACATGGTCTAGCTTGGGGAATGTTTGATGTGAACTTGAAAAGAATGTGTATACTACTGCTTTGGGATGGAGTAATACACATACGAATTGTAACCGAGTGAGGTACTCAATAAATTTTCTGTTTGTTTTTTCTTTTTCTGATGGAGGAGTTTGAAATCTGTAAGTATGGCATAGGAGTCATCTAACTTTTGTATCTGTGTCAGTTTTTTTTTTTTTTCTACACATTTTTTTTTCTTTTTTTCCTTTTATTTTAAAGGGGGTAAAATTAAGCACAATGTAACAGAACCAAAATAGGACATAAGAAAGCAATGTAAGAGATACAAATTTCAAAGCTAGTCAACCTGAGATCTTCACTATCTATCATATTGTCTCTTGTTTCCTTCCAAATAGTTGTCCATGTCTTCACATACAGAGAATTCATTCAAAACAGCATAGTATAAAAGTGATCTGAAGAGACTGAGGAAGGTGTTTTTAGGTCTTCAAAACCAGACAATAGGGAAGTCACTAATGGCTGTGGTAGAGTCTCTCCTTCTCTTCAAAATGGCTGACCATACTTTCATGTATATTGAAGTTCAACAACAACAACAAAAAACAAAACAAAACAAAACAAAACAAAACAAAAACAAAAACAAAAACAAAAAAACAGGCAGAGGGTAATGGGTTGCTTTGTTTCCCAGCACTCCAGGTCCCAGCATGGCGATGGTCCCAGTACATGCCAGTGGCTCCTGTTCTGGGCCACCATAGCCTGCCACACTCACAGCCACTCACTGGAGGGGGCAGAGTTGATTCAAGCTGCTTTTTTCTAATGAAAAACCATTTCACTGCCCAAGTTCTGAAATGCCCCACAGACCATAGAAAGACATCTCTTTAGGAACCTGCTTGAAACGAACCGTGTCAAGAAGCCACTGGCCTCGATTCAGGGCCAGTATAGGTTGAAATAATGAAAATTTTATTAGATTTTTCTATCAAGTTAGCTAGGCAAATTTGCCTCCATGTTTTTATTTTTAGTCTGCTCCCTGTATTAGTCAAGTTAGGCTAGTTTATTGTGGTAGCAATTCACTTCAGAACCTTAGCAGCTTAATACTAAATTTTACTTTAATTCATATAAATTCCACTGTGAGCCTGGAAAATTCTGTAGTCACTTTTCCTGAAGGTGAGAGACTTATTTTTCTAAGTACTTCATCCTCTTGGCATATGGTTGCATATGCTCCAAGGATTCTGGAAAAAAAGCAGTGAACTTGAGAGTGACCAGCCCTTCTTTAAATGCTGCTAATCAGGCAAGCATAAAGGAACACTTGTATCCTCCAGCATTCTGGAGGACAGAGGCAGGAGGATCACAATTTTAAATTCAGCAGAGACGTAGAGAATTAGTGTGACCCTATTTCCTCCTCTTCAACAAAAGAAAAAAATCCTTTGAAAAATAGCATGTCACATTCATTCTTTTTTTAAAATTTTTATTTAAAGGAAAAAAAAAACAAAACAGTATAAGGGTACAAGTAATACAGAATTTCAAAAAAAAAAAAAAACAGTAAGAAATCACCAGTTAATTGGTTACATTTTGTCATCTTAGAAAGGACAGTGAGACTGCAAACAGTTGTGTTCAATGATCCAACAAAAACTTAGTAATATGGTCATCTATCTTATACACCTAAACACACTTGCAGTTGTATCCTTTAGAGCACTTTCTTTTCCTCTCTTTTTTACAATAACATTTACACATTTTGGGTTTTATTACTCCCATAGTTCTTATTACTTTTTTTTTTTTTTGGAAGAGAATAAAACCAAATATGACAAAACAAAGGATGGACATAGTACATGATGTAAAAACAGAATACATGGTAAAAAGAATTGCCTATATCATTAGGTATAATAAAATTGAACAAAACAGTACAGAACAAGACCAATGTTTACGTATTATTGGTCTTGTTTTCTACACATTTTGTGCTCTGTGTACACAATGGTGTGTTTTCTATCTTCTTGAAAAACTGTCTATTTTAACGTTGTAAAGTACTTAATTTTATTCATAAAATTGAGTGAAATGAAAGACGGGTAGTAAGTACTCCTGGTTTTCAGGTCTTGTGTGTCTCAAGTTTATATAAGTGGTTCAGCTTTCCCTTGATCAGTTGTAAGCATCCCATATTTTATGCTTTTCCTTTTATTCTGTATCATTATCTTTAAAGTGGGAGGAATTCCAACGTGGCAGGCTAGGTGGCAGTGGTGACTGAGGTTCCCAGACATGCACAGCAAAACTCAAGTACACAGAAACCAGGGCAAAAAGAAAGCCAGCTACAGAAGACAAGCAGAAAAACAAACTCACCAGATCCAAATTCAGTATCAAGTAGGTTTACAAAAGACAGCCAGACCATGCCTAAACCATGGTACCCCTCTGTACCCTGTATTCAGTGTACATGGCATCCTGGGAGGGGACCAACTGACCTGAGGGAAGAATCCTCACTTCACAGGTGGCCAGGCCACTGGAAAAGACTCCTAACCATTCTGCACTCCCCACACATCAAATAAGACAGACTGAGGCATCAGAGCAACTGAAAGGTGGCAGGCAAGATTGAAAAAGATATGGACTGGCCTGTGGGAGACTGAGTCCCAGGTGAGGGTCCTGATGAGGATCCTAGGTCAGAGCACTGAGCTTACTGGGGTTTGTGGGGTCCAGGGCTATATTAGTGTCCATTAGGGGAAGAGAATATATGCATGATTTACATGATTTACAGAGTGACTTTAAATGACTGCCTGCCCAGTCGGGGGTGGAAGAATGAGAAAGGGCCACCTGCGGGCTGCAGAGAAGGAAGATCCAGGTGAAGGTCCAAGGCTTGTAGCTCACTGCAGAGTCTGGTGCAGGTCTCTATTAGTGAACTAAAGGGTCCGCACTGGAGAGTCTGAAGGAACTGGAAATGAATATTTAAACACAATGGCAAAGTCCTGAGTTCCTCTGAAGAAGTGAAAAGGAAGATCATCTTCCTTTCCATTTGTCTTCTGTCCAAGTCACAAGCTTATTAAGCAACAGGCAGACATATTCAGCGTGGCTCTTCTTCTGTAGTCTGCAGTTTACAAATCAGTCATCCAGACAAACAGAACTGTGCTCCACTGATCTGCTCTAATTACCATATTCATTATCACTTAATTAGCGCAAGTGCTTGGGAAGGGAAGCTAGACTGCTCCTGAACTGTGGCATCCCTTATAACTTAGTTAAGCTGTACATGCCAACTGGGAAGACAGGCCCTGGGTTTTCTACAGGAGGGACCTGCACTACAGTGGTCGATGGGCTTCTGGAAAAGTCTCTTAACATTTCTGCCTTTCCCACCAAGAAGGAAAATATAGCAGGAGGATATTCAAAGGTCAGGGCATCAGAACACTGCAAGCCAGGGGGTCTCAAGTTGGACAGTGATGCTTTGGGGAGAGAGAAAGAAAAAGCCCTGATGGAACAAAGGAGTAAGCTGGCTAATAACCAATCAAATTTTATTAAACTGACTGAAAATAAGGCCTCTACATGCCTGCACTGACAGCACCGCTGGCAGCAGGGAGCCAGGCTTAGTGGCCATCCAGACCTGTAAGCCTCGTCTTTCCCAGACAGGTAGTTGGATAGGTCAGAGGCGAGGTGACCCTGTGCAGAAACAGGCAGTGTTCTGCAGAGGGGGCTGGGTGAGAAACCATAACTTGCCATTATAACTACATTCAGAGGCAGGCAGAGGAGTGGGAGAGCCAAGCCCAGAGGATTCCCCTGACTTCCTAAGGTCAGCACTTCCCTAAGGGTGAAGGCAAGGAGGGAAAGACCTTGCTAGTTGAATCAAGAATGCGATGCCGCCTTACTTTTGTGTTTTTGCTACTATGTGTGGGATTTTGTCATTTCTTCTTTTCTCTCTCTTTTGTTCCTCTGTTTTTTTCTCTCCCATCCCTTTCTTATTCCTTTATGTTTCTTCTCTTTTCTTTTTTGTATCAATATTATAGGAGATGTCTGGAGATGTGCAAAGGACAGTAAGCACCAAGTAGCATCTTCTGTGCATGCATCAGTGTAACTCGCATCAAAACTGTGTGTAGAGGATCCAAACACAAGCTGTCAGGGTATCAACAGGAACTGGGGTTCTCCCAGGTCCTCTCAATTTCCAATCACATTTTCCTCCTTTTGTATTGCTGCTCTTGCTCCCAGAAATATTCTCTCAAACCCTTCAATGCTAGGCCTTTACTAAAGCTGTAAAATAATTCTAACAGGTTTTTACATCCTGTTTTCATTTTTTGGCATTTCTCTTTTCTTATTCTCTTCTTACTCCTTTGCTTTACTCTTTCTTTTTCCTCTCTTATCAGTGGCTACAGAGTGTTCCACCTGGCAACAGAATATACTTCTCTGCAGACCATAGAATTTCTTCAAAATTCACCAGATTAGTACTTAAAAATAATATAAGGTAATCGATATCAACCTATGCATATTACCAGATCATGACATCAAACTGGAAATCAATGACAAAAGAAACCACAAGAATTATGCACACACATGGAGAGATTGAGCAAAACTCTTGCATAACCAGTGAGTTGCTGTGGAAATCAAGGAAGAAATTGAAGAGTTCCTAGCATCAAATGAAAACACCAGTATAGCATACCAGAACACATGGAAGCCAATGAGAACATTTAGTCCTAAGAGGGAAGTTTATTAAACAGGAAAAATCTTTTTCAAATTGGAAAGGGTTCTAGTGACAGATGGATGGGGGAATCTGGAAAGAAAGAGGAAGTAGAAAGAATGATGTACAGGCACCAGCTTCTCACAGTGACTATGTTGTTATGTGCAGCAAACACATACTAATAAAAGTGCATAGGATTTTTTAAAACATATGATAGATTCTTTGTGGATAACATAGTCAGGGTTAGTTTTTTTAATTTAAATTTTTCTTAGGAGTCCATGTTTACAGTACAAAATCATTTCATCCATTGCAGGGAACTGGTACATGGACACTATGCACCTTACTTCTTTTTTCTATCTACTTCCCCATCCCTTCTTTCCTCTCTAACTTTTGTACATACTCTGAAAATTTCTCTGTAATGCTGTATTTAAGCTGCTGCTACTAAAAATGATTATTGGTCTTGTTGGATTAATGACTACTTATTTTTCACTGTGTTCTATTCATTGTTCTTGGCATTTTTCCCACTTATAATTTCATGTTCCACATATATTCTGCCTATCATTTTGTTTTGATAGTGCTGGGGCTGGACCCCAGAGCCTTGTGTATGACAGGTAAGAGCTTTACTGCTGAGCCACATCCTCAGCTCCCTACCGTGGTTTTCAATGAACACTTTCTGCTACTATCTTTTTCTTGTTAGAAAATGAGCTGTGTATTTTTCTAGTAGTTTCTCTATAATGTGCAATATGCATTTACAAATACACTAGGTCCTCTTTCAGGTGACACTCCCTATACCTCTTTTTCATAAGAATTGTGAAAATATATTCCTAGCAATTTCTTTCTAACATTTTTGTCTTTGATACTCTAATGCCATTTATTTTATATAAACATACACAAAATATGCTTTAAATACAAACACATCTAATTATTCCTTGCTATTCTTGAACTGTTATCATTTTGTCAAATAAAAATATTAAATATGGCATTTTATTTTTATCTTTATGAAATTTTTCCCCACTGCTTTGCACTGTAGATTTGGGCTTCCCACCTATGTCATTTTCTTTTACTCTGAAGGTTTTTTTTTAAACATTTTTCTCAAACCAAAGCTACTGAAAACTATGTCCCTCCATTTGTGCCTGAGACAGTCACTATTTGTTCCTTACCTCTGAAAAATATGTTCAAGTGTATTTAATTCTAGGTCACCGTTTGTAAATGTTTTCTTTGAACACTTTAAATATTTCAAATACACTCTTGTAGATTTTACAGGTTCTGAGGAAAAGTGTGATATGATGTACTTCTTAACT